GGCTGCTTGGGGACTCAGAGACCCGGGGGTCCAACTCAGAGCTGATGATCAGGATGTGACTCCTCTCTCCAGGCCTCAGTTCCCTCTCTGTGCAAAGGGTGCAGACCCTTTTCTTGCTCTACCGGCCTCTTGGGGGAAAACACTGAGAAGTGTTGTGGATGGGACTATTGGTTCCACACAGCGGGGTTTCGGATCCTGCTGTCCTCTCTGTGACTGGTAGTGAAGGGCCTGGGGCAAGTGTTTTGTCTGAAGCATACTGCAGTCGCAATTTCTCATCTGCAAGGTGAGACACTAACAAAGATGCCTTCTGAAGGTTGTGCGGAGCCGAGGAGCGAGGCTGTGGGAGTCCTTTGGCTCATGGAGGGCCTCGCTGCTGTAAAGCATGTGTTTGCTGCTGTGAACCTGTCCTGACAGGCTTCCCTCTCGCCCAGCACCTAGGAGCAGCTATAAGGTGCTGGAGCCTGGTGATGTCCACCTTTCTCTCTTCCCACTTTCAGGCCCTTGATCAGAGAGGATGGTGGAGACCTGGGGAAACCGCCCCCCACCCCAGTGGACTCTGAACAGGCAGGTGATAGAGGGGATGGGCAGGGCTGTGTGTTCTGTGCAGGGTCCCCTGCCAGCTGGTTGGAGACACCTTCTCACTGACTCCTCCCTGGGACCCTGTGAGATCTTTACGACGCCCTCTTCTCACAGACAGGGCTTGATGAGCACAGCTGCCAGGGATTTGCCCCGCATTGGGTGGCGCCTCCACGGAGAGCCCACCTGAGCCCATCTGTCCCCTCTGCGGTTCCTGGCGAGGGTGCGGTACAGGGGCTGAGTATATAAGCGTGCGGTGGAAACAAGCAGGCTCTGGATCTGCCACTGAGACCAGACCTCTAGAACGTGGTATTTTCTGATGGGGTTTCCCTCCCAGAGGGTCCAGAGGAACCTTGGGGGAAGATGCTGAAACTGCCTGGGCTGGCTCTGGGAGGGAAGAAGGTGGCCACACACGCCGCCATCACCAGCATGGCCGGATGGCCTGAGCAGCTCACAGTGGCAGGGCCTGCTCGCTGCTGGTTTTGGAGAAGTGGATAGAACTGGGAGGTGTCAGAAAGGAACATGCAAGGCAGGGCTCCTGGAGAAAGCCTATTTTTCTAGGAAGTTTCTGGCCAGGGTTTTACCTTCTGTTTCAGACTAAGGATTTTCAGAGATGGGAAGGTAGAGATCATTAAAATCAAATCCTAATGTATGAGAAGTAAATTGAAGTCTAGCAAAGAGAAGGTTCACTATCGATTCAGGCAGATGGATAAAGGAGAGTCCTGGAGCCCTCAGTGGATTTTTCAGGCTTTAATACTCTCTCAGGGAACCAGGTACACCAGGCAGGGAAGCTGGCATGCAAGGAGGCAGGGAGGGGCTGGGCAGGAGGGGGGCTGTGGGGCAGGCAGGCATCTGAGCCACCCAGCCCCCCTCCAAATCTCTATGTGGTTTTTCTGGGTGCTATCTGGCCTTCTCTCGTGGTCTCAACTCTTCTGTAGTCACCCGTGCTCTTGGTAGCCATCATCCCACGCTGTCCTCCCTTAGTCCTTATACCCAGCCTCCAGGCTCAGGTGTGCACACTTCCATATGCCCGTGCCCACGCTCCAGGTATCCACCATCAGTCATGGGTGCCCCCACTCCCAAGCACCCTCTGCATCAACACTATCAAGGCCACAGGCGACAGCCACAGAGGCTCGTGGCATAAAAGATCTGTTAATTCACTGACGCTACAGGCAGTAACTTGTACAGTCACACAGTGAGTGGGTGCAAGGGCAGGGGCTCCCTGACTTGTATTTGGTAGGCGTGTGCGTGTTTTTCATGTGTTTCCCCACTCATGGCCCCCTCCTGAGCCATGTGCACGTGCAGACGTCTGTCCGTCCAAGAAGGGTCTGCAGTTGGGATGTAGTGGAGTAAAGGCAGGTGATGCTATAGTCTGTGGTCAGATCTGTGCTGGGGGACGTGGTGCCTGAGATAAGGCCTGGAGAATGAACAGGAACAAGCAGTGAGGGTAGAGGGGCTTTAATGGTATTTGAGGAACCTGTAAAATCAACAAGCCCTGGGAAGTGAGGGAAGAAGGGACATAGCTGAGGGTGAGAAGTGTGTGGTGGTGAGACCATGTGAGGCCTTGAACTTGTGGAGAGGATTTTGGGTTTTATTCTGAGAGAACCTATGGGTTGTAGAGCCCAACGGGAGGAGTTAGGGGGGAAAATTGTGCAGACAACATGAGGGGTAGCTGGATTGTTCTAATGTGGGGATGTGGGCAGGGACAAGGTGGGGACAGATAAAGGGATGGGTGAGCTGAGGACAGAGCTCTGCCCGTATCCGGGAGGGGGCGACAGGCAGTAAGGTGTCACAGATGGTGACATCAGAGCTGTGAGGAACTTGATTCCATGTGCACACTCTGGGGCTTCCACATGTTTCTTCTCTGATCCTCATGACCCTATGCAATACAGTATTCTTTTAATCACCCTACAATAGACAGAGTAGAAACTAACGATTGTGGCAGTAAAGGACTTTTTCCCAAAACTGTCCAGCAGATACGAGGCAAATGAGGATGCCAACCCAGGCTTTGCCCCCAAACCCATGTGGTACTCTTTTCTCCAGACCCCACTTGTCAGACTGAGACTTGGCTATGCCCTCCCACTAGGATGGGAAGGTCTTTCTCTATGTCTCTTCCAGTTCTAACATCTTCTGAGTGAAGAGGTTGCAGAACAATGATCTAGATTGGAAGACCCAGCCTCCACAAAGACATAGAGGCTGGGTAGCAAATGCCCTGAATTGGGAATAGCAGGTAGTTGTAAACAGAAGACAGGGAGTGCATGGAGAAGATGTAAGCTGCCTACCACAGCATCAGCACCTATGAATCTAAGTTAAATGGGCCTTCCCGGTGGTGCAAGGGGTTGAACACAGCACTGTGAGGTTGTCCACAGTCTCTGCAGCAGGAGTTCGATCCCTGGCCGGCCAGGGACCTGACCCACATGGCATAGCAGACCACTCCTGTCTCCCCCGCTGCTACCCTCAGCAGTGTATTTCAGTCCGTCCATCTGTTCTGCTCCCCACTCTGTCTCTGGTGAATCCTCTAACCCCCCACAACTCTGGTGTGTACCCCAGTTCTTGTATGCATAAATGAATCTTTTTTAAAAAATAAAATGTCAAAAAATAAAAGAAAAAGATGCATTAGCCAGCAATGCTAATAAAGGGTCAGAGAGGGTCACAGAATAGAGATATGGCTGAGCACTGAGCACGTATCAAGCTCCATGTGCTCGGTGTTTTCCAGCAGTTTTACCCTCATCCCTATCACAGCCTCCAGAGGTGTGTGCTTTCACTATTTTCCATCTAATGAATGCATTCACTGAGGCTCAAATTGTCACAAGCCCAAGGTCACACTTAAAGAGGAAAGAGAGCTGGGGTTTCTCCTTAAGTCCCCTGTTCAGTCCTACAATTTTTTTAAAAAAAGATTTTTTATTTACTTATGCATGCAAGAACTGGAGTACAGGCCAGAGGTGAAGGGGGTGAGAGGATTTACCAGAGACAGAATGGGGAGCAGAACAAGTGGATCTACTGAAATACACTGCTGAGGGGAGAAGTGGGTGAGACAAGAGAGGTCTGCTGCACCATGTGGGTCAGCTCCCTGGCTGGGGAGTGAACTCAGGCCTTGGTGGCTGGCAATAGCTGAGACTTAACTCCTGCTCCTCCAAGGAGGCCAAATTCCCATATTTTAAGTTATTGCAAAATTGCAGAACAGAGAGCGGTTTGGAGGGAGGGGGAATGGCAGGGAACGTGAGTGGGGAGGAAAGGCAATGAGACAGAGAAGCTGCCTCAGATATGGCAAGTGAGTCCATGAGCTAGAAAGACAGTGATGCTCCCTGAGACTGAGCACTTGGAGACCCTGTCCAGGCAGGAGGCGAATGAGGTCATTAAACCCATCTGCGCAGATGGGGACCCTCTGGGGAAAGCTGTATGCAAATGTCATGATGCAATGAGGTGAAATCCACTTTGGTCGCCCAGGCTGGGGCTCAGGCAGGGACTGTACTGTGCTCTTTGGAAAGACAGCTTATCTGCTGCATGGGGAAGACATTTGCTTTGCTGGGCTTTTCTATCGGTTTCTAGAAGGGAAAGCCAGCCCAAGGTCACTGAGCATGTGAAAAGATATACTGAAAACTAAAATTCAGGCCTCTAAGTTTTCCCTTTTCCCCCAATTTTCAGATTTATTTTCATTTCCTTTTATCCTTCCCCCAGATTTCTCAACACATACATATATCAAAACATAAACATTGCATACCTTTCAATTTTTCTGATGCTGAAATATGCTCCTGAGATCCTTCTACCAGATTTTGCACAAACTCTAAGATTTCAGGTGTCCTTGGAAGAAACTTGCTGAGACATGCTTTTGTTGTTTTCCTGAAGGCTTCCCCAAATCAGAATTGCCAATATGTGCAGAGTTGTTCTCTGAAGATACTTTCACAACCTTTATTTTACTGGATCACCACAGCGGTCCTATAAGAGATCTGCCACTGGACAATTCCCTTAACCAACCCTTGATTTTGTTGCACCCTGAGAGTTCACAGTGCAAGGTGGGTCTCAGTTGATCAGCTCCACGGCTATGCAACTGAGCCCCAGAGAGAGGTAGCTTGCCCTACTTGAAGAACCAGATTTGTCCCCCAGGACTTTGGACAAACACTGGCCCCTTTCTGAACATCAGGGATTGTTTTGGTACCCAGCCTCAATGTCAGAGTTTTCTGCATTTTCCTGTTTAGCGAATGCTGAGCACATTGCCTGGCCCCTAGTGAATGCCCCCCTGAAAATGGAAATCACTATGATAATTGCCATAGTAAAAATTGTCATGGGACTAAGTGAGAAGCACAAGTCACAGCTTGAACTTGACTCTGCTGCCCCCACAAATCCAATGATGACCCCTGCCCTGACATTCTGAAAATTGTCTCTCTAGTCCCACCACGTGGCTCACCTCTTCTCTGTCTCTGCAGGTCACCCCTTTCCCTATGTCCTGTGACCTACAAGGTGATTGTGCTTGTCGGGACCCCCAGGCCCAAGAACACAGCCGGAAAGACCTCCGGGGATACAATCATGGCTAAGGAAGGCCAAGGAGCTGTGAAAGAATTCCAAGCGCCAGGACCTGCATCCCTTTGGTATTGATTTCACCGTCAGCTGCTCAACGGAATGGCCTCTCCACACCAGGGATCCTTAGCGCCCAACCGGTCTGCCTTTAATTTCTCCAAGGAAGGACTAAGTGGGGGCACATGAACCAAGTCTCACCTTGCCGAACGATGGAATGGAATCCCATCCCAAAGTCTTAGGTGGATTGCACATAGAGTGTGCAGTCCCAGAGCCTCCTAAAATTCTAACCATTTGCCACATGACCACAGCAAGAAACAAGTTCTGTACCTAGGAGTGTGCATCTCTGTGGTTAGTACCTATGCATGCATACGCACCCATGCAGACAGCATGTGAGGGCAGTTTTGGAGACTGAGCAGAGAGATACTGGAGCAAACTTTCCTTTCTCAAGCTCCTAGCCAACACTGTCCTTGGGAGAAAGAGAGTTGCACAAACTGCTAAGACCAAGTGTTGAGATGCCAAGATAGCTCACACCCTGAGGCTTAGAATACGTAGGCCTGCACAGTTGTGCAGTTCTTTGGGATTGGAAGTGAAATGTCTCTGATCACCTGCCTTCCAGGGATGTAGGACCCAAGAAAAGGTAAAGAATCCAAGGTATGCAAAGCACCCCCCCCTCAATCATTCCTCTGCCGTGAGGGATTTTACCCCTACTCCAGGGTTTGAGGTCAAGCTGGAAATGGCTTAAGATTCCATGTCAAGGTATTATACCAGCCCCCTGCTTGAGGCCATGATATCCCTCCAGAACCCACCCATTCCCCAAATCTTGCCTTGGGACCACATTTGCTGCTACTTTTCCTGCTGCTCTATCCTATACATTGAGTACCCCAAGATGGTAGGACTACGTTAGAAAAAACCCCACACAACCAAACAGTCTGCCTTAAAAGTGACCCACACTTTTTCCATAGCTCCTCACTTCTCAGCCCTTCTGCAAGAGGAGTCCCCCATGGGTGGACTTTTCCCCCTGGAAAAAGTCAAGGGACTTGAGATGCTGGAACCTTCACTGAGTCCAGAATGTCGAAGCCAGTGTTAGATTTTATAATCAAGTGGAACAGTGTTAAATGTCTATGATGTTGGAGCCATCCCGAGATTATTGAAATTGTAGGAACCCTTGAGTTATTACCGTTGTCCCAGTCTTCTCACTCTGCAGGCTAGAGGAGGCTCTGGTCTGAGGACCTCACTGTTGCTTTGAGTATCTATGATTCTGGAACAGAGCAGCATCTTGGATATGATCACTCCAGACTGTTCCAGAGGGCCGTCTGAAGGAAGCCAAAGAGTTCGCAGCCTCAGTCCCCAACAACCCAACATGGTCATCCCGTTGCCCTGATAGTCTTCCAGCTACTGGTGTGCCCGTCCCTCTCTCCCATGTTCAGCCTCCAAAAGTTAAGGGGAAGTTAGTCAAACACACCTGGAAGCACCCACCTCTTTTTGGCTTCTCTCTCACTCTTTTCAGTCAGTTACCGACCCTATGAAATCATTTGGGAAGAGACTAACACAGAATGAGGGGGAGGGAATGGATTTGACATTTTTTGAGACCCAGAACTAAGAAAGCGAGGAGATAGGAATGTCTCAAAAAAAGATTGCTGAAAACCAGGTCATCTCAAGTCTAGGACAGACAACAACAAAGACTAGCCCTGGAAGGGAAAAGACCAGGCATGAGTGCTGACCCTCCAAGGCGAGGTAGTGTTGGAATCAACACCCTTTCTCCCACAGGGACCAAAAATAACTGCAAAAACCTTACTGTGTCACTGGCAACAGCACTTACCTGCTGGTCAAGAACACTTGAGAAGACATCTATTGGCCACCTGTGGGCTGTTAAGAAATCTTTCCAGGTGCTTTTCGCACAGGTGCCCACCAATCAGGATGCAGTGCTCTGAGAGTTTACTTTGCTTTTTCCATGTTACAAACCTAAATTGGGCTCCAGAAGGGAGAGACTGCCACCACTGTTAAGGCCAGGCGCAAACCCTTTGTTTCCTCCTTAGAAACTCATATTTCATTTATATTCAGGGCAGGTTTTTCTCTCCCTTCTGTAGTCACTAGGGCCAAACCTTAGCTCCCTCCAAATTATGGAAATAGAATTGATCGCATCTCATTACTCCTCTGCTGTATCTTTCAACTCTTGCCAACTCTTAAAGTCCCTCTCTTGCCCTGGCTGAGTTAGTGACCTGTGTGGTGTTAGCTTAGAAGCTACAGACTAAGAAAGGTAACAGCGTCAGCCCTCCTGGTTGTTTATTACACCAATAGTGCAAAAAAGTCTCAAAGACCCAAAGAGGACATGACTAGTGGTGAGGTGGCAGAGCCACTGAAGACCTTCACCACCGTCCCTGAAATTGATCCTCATCTGCTTTCTTTCTCCACCAACACCCTCATCTCTCCCCACCCACTTGGGCTGAGCAAAGTTTCCCAGGGGCTGACTTCCACAGAGCCACAGATTGAGTTGAGCCCATCTGAGCAAAGATCCCCCCACTCTCCTTACCATCATTCAACCTGTTACAAATTCATATCTGCCAAGGACACTAGGCAAGAGAGCGACTTAATTGCTGGCCAGCCCTCTGCCCACGTGGCAGGTATAATTCACAGGTGCCCTTCTCAAACCTTAGCACAAGAAGGTCAGCTCCATTCCTACAATGTGCAATACAAATGATCCCACTTTCATTTTCTTTCTGGAAATAAACTCACAGTCTCATCCATTGGATCATCTCCTGCTTAGGACAATGGAATACTCACAAGGCGGCAGCTCTGAAACTCTATTGTCTAGCAGCAGTTCAGGGGCCCTGAAACACTTGGGGGTTCTGGGTCTGAAGAAGTATTACCCTGTTATAAGCAAGAGAGAAAAGAGGAGGTGGGCAGTTCTCCAAGCCTGGTCTTGGGAAGCCTTTCCAAGTTAAAATCCTCACTGTCTCCCTAGAGGACTTGCATTACCCCCAGATTCTGTGCCAGCCACCTCTTCAGGGCAGACAGTCCTGGGGAAGTCCATTTTGGTGGCTGACTTGGGGTTCAGGAGAGATCAATGATCATCAACAGTAGAGCTTGAAGATGGAGGGTACCTGCTGCCCCTCCTGGCTTCAGTGTGCAGAGTCACCACCGAGACAGTCCTCTTGACCTGTTTCCACCTTGGCCAATGCTTAAATGCTATTTGTTGAAAATAATTCATTGAGACAGATTCCAACTACCTCCCTTCCAGGTTCGCTTTAACTTGGTTGTAACTGTTTGTTATAGGTCTTGCCTGTGTTGAAAAAAAAAAAAAAAAAAGGAAGGAGGGAAGGAAGGAAGAGAACTATAGATTCAAGTTGACAGTTTTGAGGGTTGTTTTTTGGAACTACTTCAAATGGGCAAACAAGAAATTGAAGATGACAAAGCTGTACAGGTAGCGAGTCATAGGAGACAAGATGAAAAGGAACAAACCTGCATGATTAAAAACAAAAGCTAATAAAGACCCTATTTTTGTGCTCCTAAAGGAAATTGTTTATTCAGAAGACTGAGCATGTAGGTAGACACAAGCATAAAGAAAGATTTCCCTAGGAGGAGACATGGAGCGGAATTTTTTAACACTGTTAACTCTCTGCACACAGTGGAAATCTGACATCTTCCCCCTTTGATAAGTAGTAGTTGTTATTGAGGCATATTTTGTCTGTCTGGTGGAAATCAGTGGTAGAAGGGAGTTGGGGGGAGGCTTGGAAATTGGTTTACCAAATTCCAAGGAGACATATTGTGATGTACTTTTCACAGTCTGAAATGTTTGTATTTACCAGTAGAGCACTGGGCTTTACAAAGACCGCACTTAGAATCACACAGCACAGTCCACTTTCTTAAAAAGCTGCTACATGACCAACAGGTAATTCCCATAGCTTTTGCAAAACAAAGCAAAGCAAACCCCCCAAAACCAACTAGTGAATAAATACAAGCCTACTTTCTTCATTTAGTCAACTTTTGCCAAATCTCTACCAATTCTTTGTTGTAACTGTTGTTGTTGTTGTTGTTGTTGTTTCTTAAACAAATGTACAGTAGCCCAGAGAGGCATTTTTGTCCCTGGAATAAGAACCTGGAATTCTTGGCCCCAGGCAGCCATTTGCTCAGTGACCTGGAACAAGTCATCAAGTTGTCTCCCCATTTGCCTCCGTTTCTCCAGCTGCAAAATGGGGGAGACGACTACTTACCTACCTCACAGTACGAGGGCAGGGGGTTGTGAGGCCCTGAGGTCTGGCACGGGCTGTGGCAATCTGTGAGCGCTGAGGCTTGACACAAAGTCCAGGGGTTATTTTTCAAGAATGCACCGGCCCATGGGCCATTTCAGAAAGACAGGGAATGTTCGCTGGAAATGTCCAAGCAGAAAGCTGGAGTTCCTGGATTATAATCTGCTTTAAGAGAGAGGCTTGCTGTTTAAGAATATTCATTTTAGGGAAATTGGATTTTCCTCTTTATTCTGGCCTTGACTAGCTCTATAATTAGATTAAGCCAATGACTTCCTACAGTGTAAAAGCCAGTTCACTCTTCTCCACTCAAGACTTCCAGGCCATTTCCAATTTTATAGAGGAAGGGAGTTCCTAAAATCACTTCTCTGACTTAAAATTCCACATCAAGTGTTCCATTAAAAGGAAGATAGGACATTCTGAGTGTAAACAACTCGGGGCTTCTTAAACTCTACACCAGCAGTCAGTGAGGAGAGTTTTGAGCGATTATTGAGTTGCTTTCTTGGGTCTCTATAATCAATAACCTGTCCACAGATATCTATCTATATAAAGATATTATATATAAATATAAATTTACATATATATGCACATGTATATATAGTTGTACATATATGTGTGTATATATATACTTAAATGTAATATTTACAAAATAAAACTGTGATCTCGTCTAGAGAAAATGTATTCATATTACAACTGCTCTTCCATATTTATGTATCATATTATACCTTTTTATTGTTATAATTATTATGGGTATTTCTAATTATTAATGATGTTGAAATCTGTTTGGCACCTTCTGGAAACTACCAAAAAAAAATGATTCTCCATTGAAGTGCTTAAAATCTGTTCTCATGAGAATTCTACTGGCCTACTATATAAAAAAGAAAAAAAAAAACACAGAAAACAATCAAAACACCAAAACCAAAACATGATTCCAATCCTTTCTCTGTACCTCACGCGCATAAATTTGCTGCTCCTATTTTGGGTTTTATTTTTTCCTGTTTATGTGTTTTTATGGATCTAAGTTAAGTCTTTCAGCAATATATAAAAATGTAAATAGCAAACTTTATTTATTAAGAATGTCATCTTTTTTAATTTATATTTACACAATTGTTCATCTAATTTATTTTTTCTATACGGTTTTAAATACTCAGACATATTTTGCTGTTCATGATATTTTTATCCTGGTCTCATGGATTTGTTTTTCCATCCTATTTTCTCTGGTCTCAATTACAGGTTGGATCTCACAAAAATTATGTCAAAGACAAATATTTTGCCACTGTTGATTACTATACCTTAAAGTTCTATATTATGAAAATATATTATAGCTTGTATGCTTCACTATGTGTGGTGTGGTTCTTACCTGCTGTGGAACTAGAGGACTCGCATCTGTACATACTAACAGGAACTCCAACACTGGGCTCAAAAGATCATGGCATCATGAGGTTGAAGCCAGTAAGCACCCAATCTTCTACACAAATAATTCCTAAAAAGTACCTACATTTTGCATATGCAAAAATTGAAAAACATTCTTACATAAGAAAGCTCAGTTTTCAGGAACCAAAATGAGTATCACTTCTACTTACAATGTTTGAATGCTACCTTCAACAATATGCTTGAGCAAATTTTCCTACTTTTCGTCACAATTAAACACTCAATTATCGGGTTCATCAAATGAATGTGCAACCAGACTGAAGTTTTACTATCTTTTTGTTTACCTATCAGATCCCAAGTTTTTTTCATCTTATAGCCATGTGGTAGCAATGGAAAGTTATTACATTGCTTTAAGATTCAATTTTCCCATCTGTTCAATGAAATCATAAAAGTGCCCACTTTATAAATTGTTGCTAAAATTAAGATAAATACACAGTGTGTAGAACTGGGTCAACAGATTATGTTAATTTGTGTGAGAATTATTATGACAAGTATTAATAACACATGCATTGTTCTAATAGCTACTTATTTTTTAAAAAGAATTAAAACACAATACACTAGAAGCATTTAAGTGCTTGCACAGGCATTACCTTAAGGTGAAGTTACTGGCTCTGTCCACTGAGCTGTTGGCTGGCAGAACCACTGTAAGACAGGTCAAAGTCTGTGTTTATCTGTTGAAATGTTGAATTCTGCACAAAAGGTCATTTTGGGGATATCAATAAAAATTACATAAAAGGGTAAAGGTAGGAAGTTAAGAAGTACCCTTAGGGTTTTTTTTTTTTTTTCACACTTTATGAGGTCAAATTTTTTGAAGGATATGAGGAAGGCATAAATAAGTACATAAATACACACACACACACACACACATATATATATATATACATCCATAAAAAACTATTGCTGATTTCTGCCAGATGACTGATTATTGCAAAGTAAGATAGATGATTAAAGAGAATGTTTTACTAAGCTCAATTCAATATGAAGATTGAAACAAGATTTAAAGAGCAATTCCATGAAACGATGCAAATATATCTCATATAGAAAGATCAAGATAGAAAGTCTTCATATAGCCTTTTGTATTCTTGGATTTGTCTACAGAGACAGGAGTCAGGGAACAGAGAGATGCTCTTGGAAGGTAGGAGATAGTTGTAGTGTCTTCTCTGCCTCCTTCCCCATCCCTAAAACAAACACACAAAAACACAAAAGTTCACTGGGCTTTAGCTGCTTAATCTATCAAGTAGGAAAATGACTTCTTTATCACTTCAAGATAAGTGGAAATATTCAATTTTAGATATATTAATACTTTTAATCCATTATGCTAAGTTTTAGTTTGTCTAATAAAAAATGGTTTTAAAAGTTTAAAAAGAAAAGATAGAAGATAACATAGGAAAAACATTCCAGGACACTGGTTTCATGATCTATTTGAGGACTTGACTACAATGGCAAGGAAAACAAAAGTAAAAATAAACTAATGGGGCTACATCAAACTAAAAGGCTTCTACAGTGAAAGAAACTATCATTAAGACAAAAAGACACCCCAAAATATGGGAGAAAATATTTGCACATTATATATCCAACAAGGGGCTAATATCCAATATCCACAAAGGACTCATACAATGCAACAAAAAGAAAAAAAAAATAACCCAATTAAAAAAATGGGTAAATGCGCTAAATAGAAACTTCTCCAAAGAAGACATTTGATGGCCAGCTGACACATGAAACAATGTTCATCATCACTTATCAGGGAAATGCAGATCAAAACCACAGGGAGATAGCACTCACCCCCATGAGGAGGTCCCATACCCAAAAGAGCAGAAACAAGTGTGGAGAAAAAAGAACTCTCATACTCTGTTGATGGGAATGTAGATTGGTCTAGTCCCTATGTAAAACAGGATGGAGAGTTCTCAAAATATTAAAAATAGATCTACCATAAGATCCAGCAACTCTCCTCCTAGGTGTCTACTCCCAAAAATGCAAAAACACTAATTCAAAGGGATATGTGCTCTCCTATGTCCATTGCTGCACTATTTGTAATATCTAAGTTATGGAAACAACCCAAGTCCCAAGGACAGATTAGTGGTTTAAGAAGATGTGGTATGTATACACAATGGAATACTGCTCAGCAGTAAAACAGATGATATATTGCCATTTGTGACAACATAGATGGAACTGGAGGGAATTATGCTAAGTGAAAGAAGTTAGAGGAGAAAAACAAATACTGGATGATTTCACCAACATGTATAATATAAAGAAACAACACAAAGGAACACACAAAATAAGCCCCAGAAATCTGACTGCAGAATTAGGGCCACCATAAGGGACGGTGTAAAAAGGAAGGGGCCCAATAACTCTAGTGAAAGATTAGGGGTACTTTGGCAGTGGGTGTGTTAAAATACCTCTGGAGAGGTGTGGACCTGTACCCCTAAAATACACACAGTGTTGCAAACCAAATTATCTAAAGAATGGAGGGAGGGAGGGAGAATATGAGGAGGTAGGAAGGGGGAGGAGAGGAGCAATAGTCTACCATGTCATGCTGGCACTGGTAAATCTGTCCAGGTCTTTACCTTTGGTTCCAGAAATTAAAAAAATAAAACTAAAACAAACACACAGCCAGGCTAGCCTTCAACACAAAGGAAGCTTCTTCTGATGAAGTTCTTTAAACATTTTAATAGCATGAAGTTTGAGGTGGAAAACAGCATTGCTGTATGGAAGCATATGTTAAGAACTGGAGAGCCAAGAACAAACATATGGACGAATGGAATCGAATAGAAAATCCAGAAACAAACCCACAGATTTACAGTCAACTAGTCTTTGACAAAGGAGCAAAGAATATGCACTGGAGCAAAGAAAGTTTGTTCAATAAATGATGCTGGGAAAACTGGGTCACTACATGCAAAAGAATGAACTTGACCACTACCTCACACCATGCACAAAAATCAACTCAAAATGGATTAAAGAACTAGACATAAGACCTGAAACCATAAAATATATAGAAGGAAATATAGGCAAAACACTACATGACATACACCTCAGTAACATCTTTAAAGAATCATCACCCAAAGCAGTGACAGTGAAGGTAAAGATAAACAGCTGGGACTACATCAAATTAAAGAGCTTCTGCACAGCAAAAGAGACAGTAACCAAAACAAAGAGACACCCCACCGACTAGGAGAAAATTTTTGCACACAGCACTAATGATAAAGGACTGATCACAAAAATCTATAAAGACCTGAAGAGACTGAACAAAACAAAGTAAATAATCCAGTCAAAAAATGGGCAGAAGAGCTAAAAAGGAACTTCTCCAAAGAGGAAATGCAAATGGCCAACAGGCATATGAAAAAATGTTCAGCATCACTTGTAATCAGGGAAATGCAAATCAAAACTACAATGAGATACCATCTTACACCAGTGAGAATGGCACATATTAAAAAAAAAAAAAATAGCAACAACAAATGTTGGCGAGGATGTGGAGAAAAAGGAACTCTCCTGCACTGCTGGGCGGGAATGCAAACTGGTCCAACCACTATGGAGAGCTGTGTGAAGATTCCTGCTAAAGATGGAGCTTCCATATGATTTAGCAATTCCACTCCTAGGTATTTATCCAAAGGACACAGAAACATTAATTCAAAAGGGCACCTGCATCCCTATGTTTATAGCAGCTCTATTTACAATAGCTAAGCTATGGAAACAACCCAAATGTCCAAAAATAGATGACTGGATCAAGAAGATGTGGTACATATACACAATGGAATAATACTCAGCAATCAAAAAAGATAAACTCATGCAATTTGCAGCAACATGGATGGAGCTGGAAGGGATCGTGCTCAGCAAAATAAGCCAGAAAGAAAAAGAAAAATACTGGATGGTCTCACTCATAGCAGGAATCTAGAAAATCTAAAAAAGGGACCAGAAAAAAGACTAATTATTATAAAGTAAAAATCAACATCAACAAACAACTATAAACCAGAGACATACTACGGGGCTGGGGGAAGGAGTGATTAGGGTCAAAATAAGGTAGGTGGGAATTGTATGTGGAATATAACCAAGATGAAAATGCATACATTGTACAAAAATGAAAAATGATGTAAAAAATATAAAATAATTTTAAAAAAAAGAACTGGAGACCAAGATTCGAGTACTGTCTGC